GCTGCCGAAGTTTTCCAATAAAACTATCGATGTGACAAAAAAGATTTGATTTTCGCCACAGATTTTAAAACTGATAATTAAAATCGGGTAGTATAAAAATAACTAGAATACGCTTCACGATATTTGGTGCAATATTTTTCTGGAATGGAAATGAATGAACGCTCTATCAATTACGAAAATAATCGTTACGAACACCAGTTGCAGTTATTAGTTTTTGCTATTTTCATTTCATAGGCGCTTTTTATAAAAATACATGTGCATTTTGTCCCATCGAAATATCAACACTACTGATGATGAAAAACCAAGAGAATTTTATAATTAAGAAAATATGTGCATCTGTTTGTTTGCTATTTTTTACAATTAAGCTGCTAAATTAATTTTATGTAAATATGATATGAACATTGAGATTATATATCACAAGGAATAGAGTAGACGGGGTGAATTTTTCTCATAGAGCAGCTACCACTTGCTGTTACAGATAGTTTTTACTAGTTTTAATAGCTTGTTTTATACAAAATTAACAAGACAGTAAACTAAAATATCAAATGTAGTGTCATTAGCATAGTTCTCTAATACACATAGTTATAAAACGACCTTTTCCAGCACTAAATGAGTTCACTTCGTCGTAGTTGAAGTTTAAACTATTAGCTATTATGATTAATATTTATTACACAGACATGAGATAGACTTTGTACAGTCAGCAGCGTAGGAACTTTGTTTATACATTACTGCTGTCAAGCTATTATTTTTGTTTCGTTTTAAGAAGTGAGATGTGGAAATTAAATTAACGGAGGTATGACATCTTAAGTTCCAAAAAGCAAGTCAAGACGTCGGTTGCCAAGATAAATGGTAACCAGTTAATTAGCTTTTTCAGTTACAAAATAAACATAACCGTCCATCGTTATTTACTGTCGACGCTATACTTATTATAACAGTGTTTACTGTCTAATCTGGAAAGTGGTAAACTTTCTTGTCGCAACTTATTTGTTGGCAATGCTGGTAATAGCGATTCGATTAGACATTTCTTTGTACAAGTTTGTCCCTGTGGACATCCCTTAACGTTTTTAGGAAGAACACATTATGTACTATAGACTAATAATATACAGGATGTTATTTATCCCAATTAATATGATCCAATTAACGAAATATAATCTCATTGCGTATTATTTATATCTTATATGTTGATATTAAGTTACCTACTTTAATACATTTTCTCACTATATATAATTTCTATTGCTACGATAATTTGATTTAAGATTAAGCATATAATATAATTTTTTATTAAAATAGGATTTTTACTTTCTAAATTCATTTTTCACTGTATAAACATTTACTAAACGAGTGAACTATAAATTATATAAAGTAAATGTAGGAAAAATCTTTTAGTATTCTAAGCTTAATGAGCTACTAAATTTAATTAGTTAATAACGAGAAGCGATGTTTGGAAGGGATTAAAATCAGCACAGTTACAGCGATTTGATTATTAATTTAATTTAGGATTAGTGAACAAATGACAAAACGTGTTAAATTAATGATCAGGTTTTTATTTAAATATATGTTCTTTGTAAATACTAATATAATAAACAGTTATATTCTACATTACATAATAGTAGTGTCCGGCTATTGAACTTACGACGGTGAAGATGAAGTAGTTTTCTAAATCCTTAGACCTTTGACATTGAAAAAAATATCCAAATCTCTGATAGTAGAGATATTTTTATCCGCAGTAAAAAAAGTCTAAACATCAGTACGTACAATCACATGGACCTACGATCAGTATTTGAAATTCTCTTCGAAAACGATCTCTGTTTTTAATTAAAATGTATTCCAGTCGACCGTACGTGTTACATCTTTGTGTTCTCTGTGAATCTGCGCACCATTTGTGAAAACCGTTTCTATATGATGAAATACTGAGCTCCAACGCTAAAGTTTACTTTCCAGGGCGGGAAAATAGCATATATATCCTGCAATAACTACGTACTGTATTGTATTTCCCGGATATTGGACCGTGTATTTGTTGATTTACCTTGATATATAGAGAATATAGTTTCACAATTTCGTCACCAGTACAAAGGGTCGGATGACAAGCGATTCTGTTTATTTAGCACTTTGATGTTGTCGGCAATATTGGCCTCTCATTTATTTGATATTCGAATGCGCTTGACACAGTGCATTTCGAACACTTTATGCCTTGTATCACTATTGACAGGGTTATATCAACCATAATAATTCCGTGAGTTTAATTTCGACGGCGAATTGTGGCACATATTTGGAAATTATACCAGTTGTGTAGGACTAATACAGGGCTATTGTTGTGGTCATATAGCCAACGATACTGGTAATTGACATTGTACAGAGTATACTACGTGTTCCGGCAAACGTTGTTATGCCATATATATAAGCACTAATATTGCTATTAAAATATAGGGGTTGGTGATAGAAGCGTTGGTGAAAATTTAGAGTTTGTATTTTAAAGACACATTATAAAAAAAATAGGGGTGTACAATCATCTTATTATCATCTTATCACATAGGAGTACGAAAAATAGATAGTAGACGATTCTCAGACCTACTGAATAGGCATATAAAATTTTATAAATATCGGTCAAACCGAGTATGGTAACTAAAATTGTGACACGAGAATTTTATATATAAGAATAAGTAACGCTGAACAACCCAACAATACTAAAGTAACGATAACAATACAACAAGCATACGTTCAGTCGGTTTCTAGGTGAGAGTGGTTCAGTTTCATGAGTCGCATATTTATCAGGCTTTTGACTTGTTGCAATTTACAACTAACCCAGCGTAAAGATCTACAGAAAAATGCATTCACTTTTGTTTTGCGTTATGTTTCCTCTTGAATTTCTTTTCTGTGAGCCTGCAACTAGTTACATTCTATGTTTGCTTTTCTAAACACGTAAAGGAAATGGAATACATTTGTCCATATTCTTTTAAGCTTTGTTTATATTAAAATAATATACATATGCTCTGAAATAATGAACCTCTCAAACAGTGAAAGTTTGAGAGGTTCATTATTTCAGAGGATATGTATTTTGTCAAATCGGTGTAGTGGTTCCGGAGTTTACTCTTCTCAAAATCAACTCCTTCTATTACTTTTGTATAAATTCAGATCTTTGCTTCTGGTAAATAATGCTTATTTATATTTTATATTAAAGTAGAAATAAGAAAACAATTGACATGCATAACTTTAAAATACATAAATTGTAATGTAATATACATTACAAGTGTTATTTTGTTTTTAATGTGTTTACTTAGTATCAATCATCTTTAGTATTGACTTTAATATTTATCAGTTTTTCTGTTTAGGTAATTAATGTTTTTAAAACATTAATTACCTAACAAATATCAGTTATTTATTATATAAAATTACTTAAATCAGTTTTGCTTAATATTAAGTAGATCTCGTTTCAATAATTTTAATAGGCTACCGTCACATGGGCAGTATCCTTGTTTGATAGTATAATATAAAAAAACTTAACGTCTTTATCACTTCCATTCAAACACAATACATGAGCTGAGTCTATTGTAAGTACATAAGTATAATTAGTATTTGTAATCTTATTTTTTTTATTATGGCTACCATCCGTAACATAATAGTAACTTCGTGGTTGTTCTGAATATTGTATCTATGATGTACAGAAATCGAAACTAAACAATGCAGCCAGTACTATCACCGCAACAACATTTCAGAGTGCCATCAGCCTTACTTGACATAACAATATATGTCAATAAACTCCATAAATTAACCTTCCTTCATATCAGCTCGTTGTTTTGCCGTTTTCTCGCCTAAAACAAAAATATCTCGTCACAGGGCGGCTGTTACTACGGGCCGCTGGGCCGTGCCATATTCGATTATAAATATTGCCCCGTAAAGTTCAATTTTATGTTGGTTAATGTTTGTTTTCTTGAACACTGCTTCACCCATCGATGAGTTTTATGTGTATTACCCTATTAATAATTATATTTAGTTAGGTGACGAAGAATATTGGAGAAATTACGGTCTGTAACTGAATTGAATAGAAACAAAATGGAATGGGTTTATTTATTATTATTTACGTATCAATACGTATAAATTAACTTTTAACGTATCAATAAAAAACTATTATTGTAATAAAAAAAAATTCAAAATAGTTCCCTAACCGGGTAACGCGCCTATTCCCGCTAATTGTGTATGTGTGTCTATTGATATTTTATTTCTATAGGTTTACTTCTCCGGTTTTTTTTAAACAGAATAGATAAATAAATATGTTGCTAATTTATAAAGCAAATTTAATAAAATTCATAATAAAAATATCCTCATTAAGAAGCTTATCCAAATACTTATACACAAACAAATAAAAAATAAACAAGTAAGAAGAAACTCTACGAATAAATCCCCAATTAATACAAAATAATTGCTATAAAAACCTATAAAAGGGTACGTTATTAAACTACTTTTGTAGAGAAAGGGTATTACAGTTATATTATGGTAGGTTGTTTTTTATACAGTATTTAGCTAGTTGAGACACAATAATGAGACGTTTCAAAAACAGGTCTCACTCGTAGAGCGTTTACGTAAGAAGTACTTAGTCTACTTAGAATGTTCTTTATGAATAAGTCTAAATCTGGCTAATGAAAAACAACAAAAATATGAATGACAGGAATATGCTGTTTTCTGCTACATTGTAATCCATATATTGTAACTCCCTATTACTGTAGATACATAAATGTCATAAGCTATATATATTCAAATATAATAAAATTGTAACGAGGCAAAAACTGTCTGCTTATGTATTGGTGTGTCCAAAGTATTGCGTAAAAATGGCTGAAGGAATTATGCGGAAATATTAAAAAAATTTGTTGTTAAATATGGGTCACCATGTACATAAATGTGAATTATTTATAATAAATTTTCAATACGTCATCTATTAGTTTAATTATATTTATATTTAATTTATTTATATTTATCCAAAAGTTAACCAGAATTCCTTTTTTCAGAGCCCATCTCCATGACATCCGAGATCGATCCGTGTTACGGCTTTTCGAGGCTACTGACATCGGTGGCGGGGTCTTTCCTGGCGCTGTGGGCGTCGGCTCCGTGGCCATGCCTCCAGCGGCCTATTCTGGGCCCTCCAGTTGGGACCAGGTTAGGAACAGCTTTAGTATTACATGTATTTTGCAAAGAGCGGGATTTGCACTGCACGTTCTTTCATACGTGATCAGAAGCGCATCCGATGTAAGGGAGGAAAAGGCGCCGATGTGAAACATGCGCGCGCGCTCTCTTTTTGTACATTTACATGCACACTCTGTCCTGCGTGAGTTTGGGTATGACAGAGCGTATTTAGACAGTTAATGTGAGTGTGATTGTGGCTTTTGCAATCATAAATTAGAAAAAACTGAATATAATAAATCTTAACCAATTCAAAAGTTCATTCATTGCAGGTAAGGTACACAATTCTAGAATAATATGGTTCATTTTATATTAATATACACAAAACACACAAGATAATGAGCGCTTGCATGAATCCGAGACGAGCCATATAATGATGTATAAAATGTAGTAAAAATTATATATAAACCCAACAATATAGATAAATAGTTGGCTTAGTTGTATTTTTATGTAAATTATAGTATATTTATTATGTAATGGATATAGAAACATTCGAGTACATCTGTGTTCACGTAAGAATACACTGTTACAGTAATGTTATATGCTACTAAAACTCCAAACGTTTCGTGTCATGCATTTCAGTTACAATTATAATATTATTTTCTTGCTATTGAAAACCGGTTATTCGGAATTCTCTTTATTCTCGTTATTTTATACCAACTGTTGCCTGCGGTTTCACCCGCCATTTATGTTAAACCACCGAATCAACTCGTCGCATCGTCCGGCTGCTTTATTACTTCGTTTTCGCTTTGCATTTTTCTCACTTTCATTTTGCTCGCTTTTCTAGGGTATTGTAATTTTCAATAGCCTTCGTCGTATCATTTTAATGGAATGCAAAAATATTTTCTCTAATTCCATTTGTAGTTCCAGAGGTTCCTGTTTAATCAAACAAACAAACTCTTCCTCTTTATTTAAGTTTTCATTTTATTAAATATTCACCGTCATCTTTTCTTTGTGTATTGTTTTTCTGCTGTCGGATATCAGTATTAGACAAGTCAAACTTTATCTAAAGTCTTCGCCTCTTCATCTTGTTATCACGATTACCACAGTACATCAATCTTAATACCTTAAAATTTAATATAATATAGGTACCTCATCAGTTAACAAAATTACATGCGAATTACAATATAAGAGGGATGATATCTTAATCCTCTTAGATATAGGATGGCACGGCATGAGTTGTTTCACGGGTGTCACATAATAACGAATTGTCTGTAGAGCAGTTCATGTAAGGCGATGCAATGAAACTATATATATATTATACATTATATATTTATGTATCTTTATAATCAAAATAAGGAACAATTATTTATTAAAAATCATTTTCTATTCATACTTTTATAAAACTAGAGTGCAAACAAGTTGAAGTCCCAGTTGATGAAAAGTAGTTCATCGCTTATAGACTTGAACAGCACTACAGACTACGGACGTTTCAAAAACAAAGCCCTTAGTAACTCACAGTCGTTGTCATTGTTTGTATTGTTATCTTGTACATTCGTACTAATAAAATTAACCTGAAGTCACTTTGTTCGTTACCTTATGTATGTATGATGAAAAAAAAATTTTCGTCATACCTTTCGTGAAGACAAACTGTATTAATTTGTAACACGTGCATCAAGTTCTAGTTTTACGTGCTTTCTCCTGTGTGCGTTGCGGGAAGCATCCCGAGTCATAATAAGATTGAAACAAGAGTGTGCGGGCAGGTGCAAACTTAATGCTTCAGTGAAGTTATTACAGTGTGGTATAATATAATGTAAGAGATACATGTACTTGCATAGAATTTATGTTGCTCGTACATTGTAGATATAATTACAAATAGAGGCGCCAGTATGCGGTTTAGCATCTTTTAGTTGGATGTATCTGTAGCAGCATTCGAAAATGGTCTGTGAGATCCATCGAACCGTGTACCTAAGTGAAGCCATCACTGCTCTGAAGATCGTCTCGTCGTCAATAATATTGTCGAGACCAACCTGACAACCACTGCCATAAGTAAAACACAAGTACACAACAATAATGAATATTACGTAAAAAAAAAGAATAATTACGAGGAAAACTCAAACAATAAAACAAAGTATATAATCGTGTTTAATAAAATTCGTTATTAACCCAATTGTTATAAGAGTGAACAAAATGAGTAGGAAATTAACAAAAAATATTTATTGTTTTTCTCACTTTCTCGTCTCATTAATATTTCTTCGACATTGATAAAGCTACTTAACATAATTGAATTAAATATTCTGTCATGTTACTAAGACAGAACTACCCACTGACCCATCCCAGTCAACAGCCATCCGAGAGTCCTCTTCATGTTTCCGGAGGACTTAGTTTTCATGCCTCGATACTTTCTAATTTCACAACTATTTATAAATATATAAAAAACGAACTAACTAACTACGAAACTTAATCTAGCTTCAGAGTCAATTACACAGTTGAACAATATCAGAGCAATTATACATACGAATGAATTGTCACGAAACTCGACTACAGAACCCTTTGTGAGTAAATCCTTTGTGTCGTTTCCGTGACGACATTCTCCTATTAATATGGAAGTTTCCCGTATTTTTATTCAAGGATTTCATCGTAAATTATATAAACTATAAAGATAGGAATGTGACGTTCTAACTTCCAAGGACATTTGTTATTTGTTTTCTATTTGCGTTCATGATTTAACTTGTGTTTTTTGTTTATAGGATCAGAGCTACTTCAGCGAGCCGGAGATTGATTCCGAGTACCATCATCAACATGTGCATAAGTCGAAGGTAAGTGCTTTCATTTTAATGATTTATAGTGATTATACGGAGATATATTTTGTACAAGTTCGTCAACATGGATAGTTCTGTATCACCTAGTTCGGTTGACATTGCAGTGTATGAAAACTAAAGTCCTCCAGAATGGCAACACCTCAGCCTACCTACCTAGTCACCTGGTGATGTGCGTGGCACTGTTCATGTACCGGTGATGGTTACCACAAGGGAGATCATTCAACTTGATCAGTACATCAGTAACTAACTAGAAAAGTTTCCAGTAGACGACGTGTTATTATTCTATGTTCTCAGTAGTGTAACGGTTAAGCACATAGAAAACATTTGTATTCATGAGTATGATTGTATGTATTGGTCTGTATGTATTCTACGTACATAGTATATTATGTATAAATTAAATATTTCTATTTCGTATTTAAAAAAATGTATCTAAGTATTTATATCAGTTTCCTAGTACACATAATGAGCGCGTAGCTTGTGACTAGATGCCCTATGTGAATTGTCCTAGGTTAATATTATAGTAATGAACATATTAGTAGTCCTAATTACTAATGACTAACTCTTTTCCGTATTCAATAAGTGTGTATACATAGATAATTTTATATAAATATAATAAAAGTCAATAATTATTTAGTTTTTATTTATTTATAAAAAAATGGTAACAAATCTGTAAAAATCAAATATAATCTTATAACTAATATTAAAACGCAACATAAGTAACCGTTTTAGCGTAGGCACTTACTACTACAATAAATAACTGTAACTCGCATTGGCAAGTTCATAATAATCGAATGTAAATGACTAATTTCACAAACAAATAATAACGGTAGGTACTCTTGATGTTTGTTTAAACTAGCAGCCTCTATTTAATTTAATTTAACAGTATTTCAAATTAATGTACACATTTTATTAAATAATCAGGTCGTATGTAAGTCTCTTAATATAGTTTTTGTGGCAAAGGCAATTGAGACAAAGGTCCTCAGAAAAGGAACGTTGGTAATTACCAACTGTGTGCTTTTTTTAATTTAAGCATTCGAAAATGTTAATTAATTTAAACGAACTACGTTTTAAACTTAGAACGCTTTACATATAGGCAAACCTTTATAATAGTGTGCCCCGTTGTAAAGTTTCTTAGGCGTAGACCTCCACGAGAGGACGAGGGCTTTCTGGAAAGGCTCTGGGGCACAACCACTGCAAACTTGCATTACGGCTTTAACCTCAGCTTCCGCTGGTTCTCTTTCATCAACCTGAAATACAAGAATATAATAGATTTTTTATTAAATAAACTTTAGAATCTTAATTTATTTTAAATTCATTCAGAATATAAGAATACTGTGCAAGAAGATTGGACTAAAACAAAACTTTATATATTTATGAATATATCGCAGAAGTATGAAACTTAAAAAATAAAACATACAATTAGTTGAACAAAATAAATCAGTCGACGTTCTATTTGGCAGAGCAATACAAGTGCACCATTCAGGAGTATGGCGTATTGTCCATCATGATTCAGCAACGTTATTTTATAATCTATAATAATATTTTTCAAGGGAATCATTTGATTTATATCATACAAATTTACAGCATAATATTATTTAAAAAATATAATGTATTTTGCATATAATTCTTTTTAATCGGTTAACCTCTGGACGGGAAACTATTAGGAAATAAACTAAAGGTTAGATGCAAAGAAAAGGTAGCGGTAACATTTTGTTATGTGTATCTCCTCTCTAGTGTACACGTAACAAAGAAAGACAGCGACCAGTTCCCCTTGACACGACCAAACGGCTCGATTAGTGAGGTTTCTATCTCAGTGATTTCATGTCCAAACTTTGAAATAATTTTTTAAGACATTTAAATGTGAATGTATATAACTAGTAGGTACTAATAGTTGCACGTTTATACCTTGACTATAACAATTCCAGGTTTATAGTATTATAGAATAGACTATTTTTTTAAAACATATTCATTTACTATTAAATGAGACATTATAGATTCATAAGACATGTTCCTTAATGAAATAATAACTTTGAATAAAAAAAAATATTTTTGTGGATTTATATCCACAAAGAAAAACAAACTTTTTCATCTTCTATTCATTGTAATATATTCACTAGTAACGAATGATAACGAGGAAATAAACTTTCTAAAGACCATATTTTGTCATTGCACAGTGAAATTACAGGATAAGAGGTACGACATCTTAGTCTTCTGTAATGACAACGCATAAATGGTATCACGGGTGTCACATAATAACGTGATATCTATAGTGCTGTTCATGTATGTAGGCTATGATTACAGCTTGCCATCATGTGTTCCGTCAGCTTGGTTACCATTAAATTAATATACAAAATATCCTAGTCTAAGTCTAGCCATATATGTAATATCATGAACAAAGAACGACGGAACTTGTCTGACATCTTATTCTTTCTTGTACTTGTGGCAACAAAAATGTGTTAGAAATATTTTCCTTTTCCCAAATAGCAAACGAAAATATTTCTAGAAGGGTTAGTGAGAAAGTATGCGAGCGATATTGTTTACAATGTGCTAAAAGCAGATACTTTTATGTGGATACAGGACCGTTTATCGCATCGAATAAATAAATATTAAAGTGCCACACTAATGCAGTTGCATTCGATACTTGCGTATTTACACAAATATCGATGTTATGTAATATACTCTTATGATTGATATTCTAAGAACAAGTGCGCTAAATATAGAATTTATATACAGAGTAAATAGAAGACATAGACTTATGTAACAATTACCGTTTGTTTCTGTAAATTCTGCACCGGTAAGTTTCCAACGACGCCGGCGAGACCACTCAGGAGAGACTGTTGGAACAATTCTTCATCCTTATCATCGTCGCCCAATTCTGGGCTCAGTAATGCCTCGTCGACGATAGAACCATCGGACAAAGCTACCAGACCTCGCTTATCTTTCTTTGCTATAAAATAAAAACGATACATACTTTTATAGCTACTTGTAATATTTTCTGTCTCGACAGCTTCTACCTAGTCTTGCGATGTCGAAGGCGACACATAAAATATTATTTGAGGTCATAAAAATGAATTTGCATTTGTATATACTTATGTGTTTGCTATAACAGTATATGTAACACGTAACCTTACAAGTAAGTATGTTAATAATTTTCTTTATGTCATTTTCACGTTTTTATTCTTCATTGGCTATTTCTGCGGCTTCATACGCGTGAGACCATTTATTTCTCGATTCCATAGGAAATACGGAAATTTTATTCTTTCTATCTACAATCTATCTACCAAATTTTAGATTAGTGAATTCTAATATTTTATATTGTGAAACACTTCTTGACGATTTTGAACAACAATATTTTGTGGCTATAATATGTCAAAGGAGTATAATTATTTATTACCTGGTTTTGTTTCTTCTGCTAATTCCTTCTCAGGGTTGTCTCTTTTATCACGCTTCTTGGAATCCCTCTTGTAAATGTTATGCGAAACTGAATCATCAATATATTGTACATTAGCTGGATTCAATAACGACCCTGATAGTAACACAGTAGTGCCCTTAGACGGTCCCAAGGATTGAGCCTGAACGAATTGTGTAGCTGGCCTTGAAGGTTGTCCCACAGACAATAGCGGTAGCTGAACAGTACTTTGGTCACTAGGTATTTGCTGGATGCTGTTAATCAGTTGTTCAGACACTATTCTAGTTCCCAGCTGACCGTTAATATATGGCTGTTGAATTTGAACACCGTTCGGCAATTGAACAGGGATCATTTGTTGTTGTACACCAGCTAGGTTCAAGTTCGGGACTCTCTGTATTTGGCCTCCAATCAAGAAGTTTCCGTTTCCAATGGGAGTGGCTTGCGGCGGCGGGGGCTCGGTGACTGGTTCAGTAGAAGTCTCCAATGGAGTACCATCGTGTTTGAAATGGTGTGCGTGGTGGTGCTTGTGGTCTTTGTGGGCTTTGCCAGCAGTCAGTGCGACGTGGTACAGTTGTAGCATTGTTACTTCTCCCATTAAACCTGCTTGGTCTGGAATTGTATGAAATACTCAAGTTTTATTTTAAAATATCTCGTACTTTTTTAACCTGATAGTGATAGGATGGGACGTTGATTGAAAAATCAAATGTCAGGTTTTTGTGCACGTTTTTCAACCGAAAGTCCAATTAAATTTTGAGTCAGACTTCCCGATATAAAATCATGTCGAACAGAAAAACATCATTGGACGTGACGTTTTTGACGGCGATTGGTGAGTAAAGGGAATATGCTCAATAAAAAAGTTGAAACGATTGCTAAAAATGAATCGTATAGTTTGATGTATTGTAGATTGTATTACTTTACTTTTTTTTTTCTAAGTCAATTGTGTCCTTTTATTTATAATATTATTGTACAATAAAGTATTACAAACAAACAAACAAACTTTATTTATTTGAATTACATGGTTTATTGTAATTGTAATTGTCATATGGTTGTTCTACTTCTTCTGCCTATCACGGGTAATATCCTCACAGTACATAACATGTGTATATGTCTATGTTTAAAATAACTTGGGTGTTCTTTATTTAACTCCACTTGTGATAATTTAGTTAAGGATTCATTACGTTGTATTTGCATAAATATGATCTATTTATTTCGGCTGATGCCTTAACGTAAGAAATATATAAAATTACAGACATGATTAAACAGCCAAATAGCTGCTGTGTTTCAGTATTTTTCAATTAATCATTCAGTTTTTTTTCCAAGACTTGCTTAAACATCTCCTTTTAATTATTATTCTCATTTAATTAATTATAATAATACACACACACATTTACCGCCACAACTATTAAACTAGAAGGGGTAGTCAAAGGTATCGTCAACGACTGTTGATGGTTGGTATATTTTGAATAGGTATATACCGCCGACTTTTTGGTATTATATTGTTTCCTTCACTAGAGAGTTAATCAGAAAAATAATTTAATACATAGTTTTGTTTGTATCGGCTAGATTTGAGGTAACGGCCTCTTAGCTATATTTCAGAATAGTAAAGCACTATTCTAAGTTACGCCTAAAAGGTTATATAGGCCACGACGCTCTTATCAGTAATTTTACAAATTATAATTATTTTATATACCGTCCATTATAGGTATTATTTATCTACTTACTGAGTACAGGTGTCAAACCGTCTTTGCTATATAATAAAGACTGATCCTGTCCAGTCACAGCAATACCACCTCCCTTTATAATATGGCCAACGAGCTGGAAGCAGAAATTAAATTCAAAATAGAAAAAAGCAGTGCATTAATTTTCATGAAAGCACTAACCACATATGAGTAAAGGGATTTCTTTCATTTACAGATTTTAAAATAAAACAAAACCAGAAAATCATTTGTCTACTTTTCCGTGATATTTCTATTTGACGAAATATACTCGTACCTTTTTGAATAGAGCTTTAAGTAATCACTCGGGTTCCTGCAGGCTTTAGTTTGTAAAGCATAAAATCATAAATTGTAATATATAGTACTAGAGCCGTACTAAATAAATAACGAAACTTGTTAGCAAAGTAATATTTAGTGCAAGTAGATACTAAGCTTTGAGTTTACTGAAGTGTCCCTCACCGTATCTTTATGCTTAGGAGCATTACAGAACGATATCCCTACTTGGGGACACTGGCAAATCTCCTAACAAACGTTCCTTGATCAATATACTATCTTGATACTTTCTGGTATCTTAAAAATGTAACATTGTTTTTAAATTAATACTAATTTCGTGAAAAAATGTAAACACTTGTATAATGAAACGTTATCTCTACTATTTATAATTCAGATAGAGATAAAGATACTTCAATTTTATTTATTTGTATAGATTAATAAATGTTGTTGGAACACTGCATTGCCAATTATGGGGATAAGTATTGATTGAAAACGGTAATTATTCTACTTACCCTGTTGTGGAAGCCTCGACCCACCCTCTCAGCGTTCACCCATATCTGCCATTCACCAGTCTTCCCATTCCATGATTGACACGAGTGGTACCATCTGTGGAAAGAATTGAACTTTCAATTGAAATCCTCAGAGTTTTAACTACAATACAAGAAAAATATTAATGAATGATTTATAATAAAATTAATGGTAAAGTTAGGGAATTTCGATTTTGGTACAACATGTTACGAAATTGGTGTATTTTACCAAATAAAAACTAACAATACAATGATAATGTCATGTCATCTATAATAATGTATAATATATACAACAATTATGTCAAACTTTATATGTTGCGATTACTAAGTAAATTTTAAGATATTAATTCGATTTTCCTATTTTTTTTAGTTATACTGTTAATTGTTGAAAGTATTATAGATGTTGTTGATAATAAATAACATCTGATGTTGAATACAAAACTTGGTATGACCACACAAAATGTTATAGACATTCTCACTTGAGATTGAAGCATGGTGTTACAATATCTCTAAATCTCAATTTCGAATGGTATGACAAAAAAATATTGATACAGCAAATTTGGAAAAAAAATACATATATGTATTATTATTTAAACAAAATAATTTCTAATAGGTGAATTGAAATACAGGCTTGTGAAAATATAATACAAAGGCAAACTTATTTCTGAAAAGGATTTTAACCTAACAAAGTTTGTACTATTGAAAACTGTCTATTATACTTATAAGCAAAAGTTTAATCCTATTTCTATATCAAAGACGAGACTAGACTATTGTTATTATGTTGTAATATGAGACTAATGTGTAATCTGTTCACTGAATTCAGTTCATGAAAAAGTATAATCCATGTGCTAAATTTATTTGAAGAACTGAAGTAGTTTTTTAATTAAAGAGTAACAAATATCCAGCCAAGTTCACCAACTTCCTCGTTTATAATATTAATAATAGGATATTCTGACATTAAAGCAGGCTAGTTGTGTTAGTCGGGCTGATTTAACTTTACAGATTTTAAATGTTGTAAAAAAACGTCGGCGTACCACCAGTAGCTTGATTCCACCTATTTTACCTGCAAAGCAGCTTTCTTTTTAAGATTTCTTTGTGATTGAAGGACAAAGGCATTGAAATTACAGGATATGTATGGGGCCATGATATAATACGTGAGTACGTTACATGATAGAATGATGTCCATAGTGTTTGTGTATATGTGCGATAGTTACCAATTAACATCATGTAGACTTTAACCTTGTCTGCCATACTAATTTCATAAAAAAAAATATATTGTTGCTACAACCTGAATTTAGTAGGTAGTTGGACACAAATTTCGTGTGTGTGTGTAGCAAACAGATCTAAACTCGACGGAACAACTCTACAATGCGTTGTTATCTGGACTTCAACTGGACTGGACTTTGTATGATATCAAACCATGGGCGCATTTAGTTTACAGCACATTATTTGCTACACATTACCGCTGTTTGCGCTCATTTAGGAGCACTTCGCAATAAATCCCTGTATACACATTCACTCTAAAACTCTATTATTCTTCGGTGCTTGGAGAAAAAATCAAATTAGGTCAGCTAGTGAAAAACTGCTCGGAGTAAGCAAAGACCAAACAACGTTTCAAAAGCCACCAACCGCACTAATTGCTTTGTGTACTATGTTGCCTGACTATATTTGTCTTTCATTCACCAACCGCATCAAATTGAGGACTAAAAATAACAAAAGAGACTTAAAGTATTTACTTAAGTAGTGTATAATTCATATAATATTGAATTAATACAATGTTAATAATAACACAATTATTGTTTCAAACATAACCTAGCACTATTTAGCATATACCCATATTTCAATGGTAGAGAAGGTTTAAGACAAGAACAATAAACATTTGTATTCAGGAGTATTACTGTATTGGTCTAGATCTATATTATATTATAGTATGTATAGTATGTCGCCTAAGACCTTGGTAATGCTTGTAATACAACACCTAGAACTAGTTCGATAATGTAAATTGCATGTTCGGCATTAGACCCGATTATCCTAAATGACAATAACCAGGTAAAGCTTAATCTGGTTCGGCGATACTAGCTGCACTTAGTGTCTGTTCTAAACGGGGCTTGTATGCTTGATACCATTGTCTACATATAGGTACGTGTGCAGATATGTTAGATACTGTATAAGCCTTTCTATTGATATCCGATCAGCGCAACTTAGTCTGCTTCATTTTCTCTGTTATTGCGACATTTTAGTGATACTCCTATTTTATTAGCGTGATGTTCAAAAGCCTATATAACCTTCCATGATAAATTAGTTTTAAATTGATGAATTTTATCACTTTACTACTTTAGCAATTCGATAAAAATCTAATTCGTCAATTACGAAGCTTTTGCCGATTAGAATATACAACATTATTGCTATTATTTCAATATCCTCACTTAATTGGGACTTAACGTACGAGTATTAGGTATTTATAGAAATAATCTTTGCAGACAATTTAAAACGTGATTATTTTTTTAACTTGAACATATTATTACGTCTGCAATGTCTTGTGTTCTAGTAGTATCGTCAACAATTGACAATGTAGTCGTGAAGCTATATTATATAAATTAGTAATTAAAATTAAACATTACGTGAAAATAAAATAATCAAAAACCTAAAAAAATCTTAATGGTTAAAAAGAGATCAAGACATATGCATTATAATAAATTCATATAATCACCAGTATCATAAAATCCGTTAAAAATGACTGACTTATTATATTGTGATAAATCTGCACTGTGGTTTAATGTTACATTTGTACAGTTTAGGTATGTGGGCAAACATACATAACATATTATTATATGACTCGACGATTAGTATTCGATAAATAGTGTCGAGTGAAAATAAAACTAACACTTATGATTCGCACTTTCACATCGTGAGCGAAAGAAATCACTATTTATTAGAAATCATTGCTTTATTATACGGTAGGTAGTTATTAAATTGTTCCTGGACATGTTTCACTTACTTTTATTGGTTGCTTTGGGACAACGCGATATAGTATGGAAATTAGAAGATAAGGAAGCGCCATGCCTTAGCTCTTAGGAACACAATCGCATGATAGTTACAAATTAATTTTGTGATGTACACGCCAGTAGATTAGTATTTTTACATGAGGTGGGCCACTCCTTTGACCACTCCCTTTGCATAAAAATAAAGTTGGAAATAGTCGCTCAGCGCATGATGAATTTTTTATGTTTGTTAGAACTCTAGACAAGTTGTGGAATGGGGAATCCATTTTATAGTATGAAAGCAATATATAGAAAATTGCTTAATAATTCACTCCTGAAATGCATCCAAGGAAGATCCCGTGCGACTTTAATTTTTAATTACGACATTGAGGAAAATGCACCCCAACCGTGGATTTAGATGACGGCAACCCCGACGGTAGAACGTTATACTTGTTATAATATCAATTAGTTCAAATACCTTTTGTAGTTGAATTAAAGGGTTTGCCGAGATAAAACGGTTCCCCGAAATATTATCATAACATGCGAACTGGATGTTATCCGGCCTCTTTCGGGTTAATTGCCATTTGGCCGTCATATTTTCAGTTCGTCAGGGAAGCATGTTTGCTAAGGCTTAACGTACTATATGATTATGAAGCAGCGCTCCTACAATGGATTATAGTATTATCCATATTCTGTGGCCTATATAAAGTGGGGTAAAAAATTGTCTATAATTACTGCCATTGAAATATTTTCACTAGCAATAAATAAAGTACTTTTTGTTTAATTTGTTAATACTGCTATTTTCGGTTTTTTTAAATATTTATATTTAACCGCGCGAAGTGTTCTTATAAATTAAGGACACTTCACGCTGTCTCATTTAGCCCAAGCTAAGCAGTAGTACTGATATAAATACCTAAATACATTTTTTTTTGTAAATATACTTATATTATACGTAGAACAGATTCAGACCAATAAATACAAACAATCTTACTCATATCTACAAATTTAAATATTTGTACCGTGCAAGTAATTATACTAGCAACTATCAGATGTAATAAACCGCTAGACCACCGAGGATTTCCAATAAAAGGAAAGAAAATAGACACTAACTATAGACAGTAACACTTAGATTTTTTGGAGTATGTCAAGAAATGATTAACAAAATTGTGCTAGGAACAAGGAACATAACACTACGAAAAAAAGCGTATATACAAATTTAAAATATTTTTTATTAACCAGTTACAACAAATTATGAAATATACTTTGTTTGCATATATTTTTACACACTAAATATACACATATACTAGATATTCGAACCGAATATTTATATTCACTCATTCTTTATTCTGTCATCCTGCTAGACTACTAAAACGACAGAATAAAGAATGAGTATGTACGAGGGAATCTCAAAGTAGTTGCAAACTAAACTGTACGGTGAACACTCTTGTATTTACCCGTGTAGTGTTTACTGTATAGGGAACAGTTTCCCTGTACCAACTGAAGTGTGATTTCGCAACGCGACTGAAGCGAAATCAAATAGACTGACTGTCAAATGCTAATACGAAAACACGATCTAGTTAAAGTAAAATACTATATGCAAATGAATTATATAAACAAGTTTGAAATAAACTATAAGTCAAATATCATCAGAAATATTAATTTAGTATGTAATTAATTTAATATATATTAATTTAATCTTGATAATAAGGTACCGTCACAATTGTAATCATTTGTGTGATATTCAATGGTATTGTTACATCGTGAAGTTCCGTTTGTTGAGTATATTTGAACGAGTTAGACAGTAGTCGACTATCGGATGTCATTTGTTTGATTCTCTTTGATTTTTATCAACGGGGAACTCGTTACATAGATTAAGTGCCAGATAGTATTGTTAAAAAAATTGATAAAAATTTAAATGAGTTCTATTTCATTTCTATCATCCCTCTGACTCGGTTTTTGACGTTTTTATCTATGTACAGAAATTCAACCTGTACAGTTTTATTATTCTATTACTTTATAATTTTATTACTTCACAGCTTTTGTGGCCTGTACTAATATATTTTATTGACACTAAATTACGTCATTACAGTTATTCTTC